CCTTCCAAACCTTAACTACAAACCCTCTCTCCAAACCTTAAACTACCAACATTTCCTCCAAACCTTAACTACAAACACTCTCTCCAAACCTTAAACTACCAACCCTTCCTCCAAACCTTAAATTACCAACATTTCCTCCAAACCTTAACTACAAACCCTCTCTCCAAACCTTAAACTACCAACATTTCCTCCAAACCTTAACTACAAACACTCTCTCCAAATCTTGAACTACCAACCCTTCCTCCAAACTTTAAACTACCAACCTTTCCTCCAAACCCTAAACTACAAACCCTCTCTCCAAATCTTGAACTACCAACCTTTCCTCCAAACCCTAAATTACCAACCCTTCCTCCAAACCCTAAACTACCAACCTTTCCTCCAAACCTTAAATTACCAACCCTTCCTCCAAACCTTAAACTACCAACCCTTCCTCCAAACCCTAAACTACCAACCTTTGCTCCAAGCCTTAAATACAAATCCTCTCTCCAAGCCATAACTACAAACCCTCTCTCCAAACTTTAACTACAATCCCTCTCTCAACACCTTAAACTACCAATCCTCCTTCCAAACCTTAAACTGCCAACCTTTCCTCCAAACCTTAAACTCCCAACCTTTCCTCCAACCCTTAACTACAAACCCTTTCTCCAAACCTTAAACTAGCAACCTTTCCAACTTTTCCTCCAAACCTTAAACTATCGACCTTTCCTCCTAACTTTAAACTGCCAACCTTTCCTCCAAACCTTAACTACAAACCCTGTCTCCAAACCTTAACTTCAAACCCTCACTCCAAACCTTTAAATACCAACCTTTCCTCCAAACCTTAACTACGAACCCTCTCTCCAAACCTTAAGCTACCAACCCTTTCTCTAAACCTTAACCTAACAAACCTTTCTCCAAACCTTAACCTAACAACCCTTCCTTCCAAACCTTAAGCTTTCAACCCTTCCTCTAAACCTTAACCTAAATATTTATCATTTTAGTGTTAGAAATTACATTTATTTATATTTTCTCAACATCAAATACGCCCCACCCCATCTCATCCCCCCTTTTCTGCATCTAGGTCCCTTGGGAGCCCCTGTACTCGGTAACACCTGGTCTATACTAGGGAAATAATCGTCCCTACTTTAAAATATTATTTTCATCTGGATCCTAACCCTTGGAGAGGATATTCTGGAAGCCTACCAGTTTTAAAATATTATACGATATACAAGATATCCTAGAATATATACAATATACAGGATATCCTAGAATAAACACAATATACTGGATATCCTAGAATATATAAGATATACAGATATTCCTAGAGTATATACAATATACAGGATATCCTAGAATGTATACAATATACAGGATATTCTAGAATATATACAATATGCAGGATATCCTAGAATGTATACAATATACAGGATATCCTAGAATGTATACAATATACAGGATATCCTAGAATATACACAATATACTGGATATCCTAGAATATATACGATATACAGGATATCCTAGAATATATACAATATACAGGATATCCTAGAATATATACAATATACAGGATATCCTAGAATATATTCAATATACAGGATATCCTAGAATATATAGAATATGCTGGATATCATAGAAAATAAAAAAATATACAGGATATCCTAGAATATATACAATATACAGGATATCCTAGAATATATACAATATACTGGATATCATAAAATATAAAATATACAGGATATCCTAGAATATATACAATATACAGAATATCCCAGAATATATACAATATACAGAATCCTAGAATATATACAATATACAGGATATCATAGAATAAATATAATATACAGGATATCCTAGAAAGATGAAATATACATAATATCCTAGAATATATACAATATACAGGATATCATAGAATATATACAATATACAGGATATCCTAGAATATATACAATATACTGGATATCCTAGAATATATACAATATACAGGATATCCTAGAATATATACAATATACAGGATATCCTAGAATATATACAATATACAGGATATCCTAGAATATATACAATATACAGGATATCCTAGAATATATACAATATACAGGATATCCTAGAATATATACAATATACAGGATATCCTAGAATATATACAATATACTGGATATCATAGAAAATATAAAATATACAGGATATCCTAGAATATATACAATATACAGAATATCCCAGAATATATACAATATACAGAATCCTAGAATATATACAATATACAGGATATCATAGAATAAATATAATATACAGGATATCCTAGAAAGATGAAATTTACATAATATCCTAGAATATATACAATATACAGGATATCATAGAATATATACAATATACAGGATATCCTAGAATATATACAATATACAGGATATCCTAGAATATATACAATATACTGGATATCCTAGAATATATACAATATACAGGATATCCTAGAATACATACAATATACAGAATATCCCAGAATATACATAATACACAGGATATCCTAGAATATACACAATATACAGGAATCCTAGAATATACACAATATACAGGATATCCTAGAATAAATATAATATACAGAATATCCTAGAAAATATATAATATATAGTAAAGGATGAGTGCAAGATCCCCGGGGGGAATTAAACCTAAGACAAATTTTGCGAACATCTTGATCTAAAATCATGATTTATCACATTTTACTTGAATTATTAGGAACCATAGGAATGCCGACGATGGATTGAACGTCATAATGCCGTGCTATCTATCTAAAAGCATCTGACGTTGTTCAAATATATAGACATGGAGTAGTTTATATTAAACCAAGAAATTTGTGCCCCGTTTTCTATGTTTCTTTTTTGTAACTTCAATTTGATGCAAGGAGAAAAGGAATTTGGACGGAAAAATCCACGAAATTCTTCTCTAAAAATACTGCTTCATAAAACCGAACTCTTACATATTCAGAGGGGATCAGTGACATCTTTGGATTTTAGGGAGTTTTCAGGCCCCAACGGTTGCTGACCCCCCTCCCCCTCCTGGACAAATTCATGTTTAAAATTCTGTTTAAAATTTGCAGGCAGACTTAATAAATACAGTTGATAAATATAGGTTTCAATATTCCAAATTATAGGCATTTTTTAACAATTATGATCAGTAAAACAGTAATGAAATTATGTATAATTGTTGTTGTAATTAGCTGATATTGCATTTCAGCTCAAAATATTATTCGATAAAAATATTTAAAATTCATCGGAATTGTTTTGAATAACATCGTTTATATCAAACTCTTGATAAAGGAATTGAATCTTAACAACAAACATTAATTTTCTTATCCATATATCTTGAAAACCTGATGATGAAAACCCTTAATATTTCAAACTTAGATTATCATATCTAGCAGGGTTAAAAGTTTGAAATATCTAAGGTCATGTGACATCGAGTTGCAAAGATATAGAAATTAGAAATCAGAGTTTGTGGCAAAGACTCAATTTCTTTGTAATTGTAATGATATAATTACAATTTTAACACTGAAAATAATTCCAGAAAAATGCACAACTATTGAAATACAAATCATGTAGAAAGTAAAAATGCAGAAAATCTCATTTCTACAAAGTTTTAAACATCAAATGCTTCTTGTTAACGAAGTGTTACATTTTTCTTTTTAACTTTTTCCGTTCTACAGATCAGAAATATTAAATAATAATAATATTTTCATCATTCAATGTACCCTTAATATATTATATTACAAAGTATATACCAGGTCTGGGGCTAGGAAAAGGGGTTAATTAATTTGGATGAAACTTCAAATATGAATCCTAAATATATATATTTATGCAATATGTTTCATGTTTACATGTTTGGGGGCAATTACTCCATTTAATCACAAGTTTTAAAAACAAATTTTGCATATACAAAAACTAAAGCTATTACTGTTAAAAATACGGCAGTTTGTAGCCATCCAACAAAAAAGGCAATTTGTCATATTTAGTTATAAACACTTTGAAGCATAAATTTAGCTTTAGTAATTAATCTTTCACCGCCAGACTAAATTATTAATTTTCTTAGAAAAATCTGTAAATGGATGTGTTTATGCACAATATTTGGGTGCTGGGACATTTGATAAACTCAAACTTTTCAAGCAAAACAAAATTCATAAAATCAGGAAAGGTGAACAGGGTTAAATGAGGATGTAGATGGATGAGTGAAGGAGGAAGGTGAGCTGAAGGGGAGGGGGGAGGAAGGAGGAGGGAGGGAGGTGTTTATCTGGGTCACTATGTGTCTGATTAGATGAATATTGATGTGGGTTTGTCAGTTCAATTATACGCCACGTTCAGGTGGAGTTATGGTGGATATAATTACAAATGAAATCAAATATATTTGTCAAGCTTATCAATTATCCTCCTCCTCCCTTATATATTATTATATACTCTTATCCCGGTTTAATTCTTCCATTTCCTTTCTCCTTCATTTTGTAGTTTCTTTTCCATTTTCATTTTGCATCCTTCTTAATTTTTGGTTCCATCTCATTTTTTTCTTCCATCTCTTGTTGCTTCTTTCTTTATTTCTCCTTTCATCTTATTCCTTCTCCAATTCATCTTATTTCTTTCGTTTTCTTTTTTTACTTATTTTTCTCTCCTTCTACATGGTTTCTTCCTTATTCTTCCCAATATAAATTATCCTCCTCTCTTCTCAATACAGTTTGTAGGATTTGTACACTCAACATTGTACTGAGTTAGGTCGGAGGCTGAATACTTTAAAGAATCCAATATCATTTATACTTCTTGCTTCAAACCTTTCTATTTCTATTTCTATACTATTCTGGATTTAACTCTTTGTTGGGTATCCTCTGGTAATATTTAACAATAAACCTATCCTGGACATTGAATCGGATGTGGTATATCGTAGTTTATTCTAATCTTATCTCATAAACTTTAATCTAATTTTTAACCGAATCCATCTTTATCTACATCTAATTAAATCTAATTCAATGTTATCCTACTCTAAACCTTTAATATAGTTAATCTAATGTAATGGAGTAAAATGTAATCTTTAATTTCAGGTATTCAAACCGAAATCTCGGAACAGAAACGGAAACCAGGGAACCCGGAGCAAGGTAAACTAGTTTTATCTGGTAGTAAGGAGAAGGAGCAGTGGAGAGCAGCTATGGAGCGGAGTAGAAGAGTTCTAACATCCCAGGAGCAAGCAATGGAGGAGTATCTCCGGAGACAGAGTACAGAGGCGGAGAAACATATCAGGAACTCTCCCATGATGATGCGAAGGAATATGAACGACATGAACACGCATCCAGGACGACAGGGAGGGATTGCTTCCATGCCAGGAACTCCGACTGGGAACAGGAGAAATGTTTCTCGACATCGTGGTTTAGTTCTCCAGGATCCAGGATCAGTTCATAGTTACTCCAGGGGCGGTAGTTTAGAGCGCCAACAAAAACTGTCTCTGCAGGAACCTGTATCCGTGAGATATGACGCTGTGAGTGATTCTGAATATATACACGGAAACTTCAAATCCTCTCCGGGTAAAGATAACTCCCGGAGTTTACCGAAGGGAACCTCAGCTCTGAATTATGGTTTACTCATGGGACAAATTCAACAGAAGAGACAACAAAGACAAAGAACTGACGGTAGCATCAGTGACTCTAACTACGCAACCTACTCCGAGCTACAGGGTTTAAGAGGAGTATCTCAGAGTCCGTATCAGTGGCTCCAACCTGCCAACACATATTCAGGTTGGGGTAATCACGAGGAGCTCGGGAGCTCGGAGTCAATCAACTCCGTCTCATCGTCGATAAAGAATGCCCGCTCTCAGAGTTTAACTAAGGCTAATGTTTTGGTGCATCATATGGAGACCCAGAGAAACCCTACCGGGAAGATTTCCTCTTCAAGAAATTATTCTAGGAATGGTTTACCGAATCGAACAATATTCTCCCCCCGTCCTTAACATCTTAGCTTCTCTTCCATTGTTGTTTTCTCTAACTTTAAAGAAAAGGTTTCTTTCAAGAAAATACAAGAAAAGATCTTGAATTTTCTCCTAGTTTTCCAATCTTGTTTCTTTGTTAGAAAAATGCAAAATAGTTCTTCGAATCTCGAAGTTTCCCTTAAAAAGCGAAATTCCTCTTCAATCCTAATCCAAATATTGTTTTAATGGATCCCTTCCCATCCAGCTTCTCGGATATATTTGAAAAATATTTAAGTTTCCCCTGTTTGTATTGTAAGGATATATTTGCTTCCATGAACCTAAGAAATAATTAGTTCATATCGGTAACCCTGGTTTATTAGGTTGTCAAAACCAGAGGAAACGGAGTACTACGGAGTTCCATTCTTGTTAAAAGGTTCTGGGAGTAGGTTTACTTCCCAACCATCTTCTCCACTACACGGAGACAAAACCATCCTTCAGGATCTAGGATCCCCCGCTCCATCCTCTCTCAAGTACTCCAGTCTTCCCTCTTATTCAAGTTCTGGAAAACAAAAACATAAAAACAATTTAGATGGTACCCCAGAGAATCTTAATGGTTCCAACCTGTCATTAGTATCCAATGAATCCTCTGTATATTCTACACAGGAGGAGAGAACCAACGCTGATATTGCAAAACTTCAGCGTGAACTTGTTGAAGAGCAACATAAGGTCATGTCTTTAACTAATCAACTGAACACAAACGCTCATGTTGTCTCAGCGTTTGAACAAAGTTTAGCAAACATGACATCTCGTCTCCAGCAGATAACTAAGACTGCAGAGAGGAAGGATGCAGAACTAGGTGAGCTGAGACGAACCATGGATGTTCTTCGACAGTCTGGTATAGATGCAGGACTAATTGCCGCTAAATCTGCGGAGAGAGAACCTAATGAGTTAATGAGACAGATGTCTACAGATTCTGTTACAAGCATGTCATCAGCACACTCTAACACTTCTCTAAACTCAGGAGACGAGAGGGAGAGAGGGAAGAAGGGACCGGGAGGCCCAAAAAGATCTGGTTGGCTTAGAAGCTCCTTTTCCAAAGCGTTTTCTAGGTCTAAGATGAAGAGTAAAGGAGGATCTGTGTCTGACTGTGATGATGGTTCTATAACAAGAATGACGGAAGCTCTAGACTTAGAACAAGATTCACCAGATTTAAATTCTGACACAAGGATTAAACTGACTCGATCCTCCTCCGACCTGAGAGATGATGGAGAGGAAGAGCTGGACCCCGAGCTTGTTGTTGAGCTCAAGCGTCAACTAATTGAGAAAGAAACATTACTGACAGAGACCAGACTGGAAGCTCTCTCCAGCGCTCATCAGTTAGAATCCTTGAAGGATACAGTGACGAAGATGAAGACGGAGCTGATGAACCTGAGGCAGGATAATGAGAAACTTCACACCCAGGTAGTTCACAAGTCTCTGGGATCCTCGGAGAGTTCTCTCAATACTTCTCATGATCCTGATCTTGATAGAAGACTTTCTCTTGCAATGTCGGAGACAAGTGTTTTATCAGGCCCTTCTACTCTAGACTTATCTGGAACCACGGATCCTAATAAACAAGACAGTAAACTTGTTTCAATCTTGGTCGAAATCTCGGAGTCTCAACCTGTCGACTCTGTCAAGATCGGAACCATTGCTGCCAGTGGAAAACTAAGCTGGGAGCTATTGGATAGTTTAGTAGAACGATTATTTAAAGAGTTTGTAATGCGTGTTGATCCTGTAACAAACCTTGGATTAGGAGCTGAATCCATTCTTTCCTACGAGGTTGGAGAAATATCACGATCCGTGGGTGGGGGTAATCCGGAATTACTGCCGTATGGATATCTGATAGGGGATGTGAACAGTATAAAAATAGTTCTGAAGCACAGCGGAGAGAGCGGTGGGGGAGTTGACTCTCTTGCTTTCCAGACACTTACTCCTAAATCAATCCTGCAGAGATATGTTTCCCTTCTCCAGGAACACAGACGAGTCATTCTCTCCGGGCCCTCGGCCACAGGGAAATCATTCATTGCGGATAAACTTGCAAACTTTCTTGTTAAAACTTGCTCTAGGGGAAAATCCCCCAGGGTTGAGATCTTTAAACTTGAAAGGGGTAATCTGGATTCCTTCAGAGAATTCCTTGTCAGGATAAATTTGGAATCGGAGAATAGAGCAGACAGTTTACCACACGTTGTCATCTTAGATAATCTACAGTATGCTCCAGATCTGGATGAAATACTAAGCTCCAGTCTTAAAGCAAGTACGGAGTCATGCCCGTTTATTATCGGTACCATGGTTCAAACAGCTGGATCAGCTAGCTCAACCAATCTTCAGCTAAAACATAGTTTCCGTTGGATTCTCTGCGCAAACCACGTAGAACCTGTTCGAGGATTTCTGGCCAGATATCTGAGGCAAAAACTGCTCTTAGAGGAAGCTGAAACCAGAGCACATAACGGAGACAGTACTAGAATTATTGAATGGGTTTCAAAATCATTTCTAAGCATAAATAAGTTCTTGGAGTCACATTGTAGTCCTGAATCCACCCTTAGCCCAGGTATGTTTATATCCTGTCCCACGGATCCACAGGAGTCTAAACTCTGGTTTATTAATCTATGGAACCTTATGATTGTTCCTCATATGCTGGACTCTGTCAGGGAAGGTTTACAGATGTACGGGAAGAGAGCTTCGTGGGAAGATCCTCTTCAAGCCATTCTAGAATCCTGGCCATGGGCCAATCTTCATCTAGACCAGGATACCTTGGTTCATATTCATCCTGGAGATGTAGGGTTTGATATGAACCAACCTCTGAGACCAGTGTCGAGAACATCTCTTGGAAATCCTGTTCTAGAGGATCCATTGTTCAATATGTTGATGACTTTACAGGAGGCAGCTAACACAGAGTCAGGAGATTTATAGGGAGAGGGGGACACCCGGAGTAAATACTGAACCTGGGAATACAAAGATCTAGATTAAACACTAGATACTGCACTAAACTATAAAAACATGGGAACCAGGTCCAAGAATATAATACAGTTATCTTTTACAATAAGAGAACTTGGATCGAACACTTGTGTCAGAATATCGTTATGTTCAAGAAAATCCAACCCAAAATTCATTTCTTAGTTGAGGAAGAATAATATCTGTCTGTTTTAGATGAGCCCTGATTTATATTCTTTATCTTTCTCATTTAAGCTCAAGTTTTGTTCTCCTAATGAAGACTGAATGATCTAAGGACCCGGAATTAAGAGGTTTCTCTTCAACTTTTCTGCTCAGTAATCCTTTCTACTAAAGAACTTGGAAAGGATAAGAGAGAAAACTTTATTTCTTTGAGAATAGTGTTTTTTATAACTTAAACTTGACCTATTTAGTAAAATTTCTTGTCTGTAAATCTGTATTTTTGTGTAACATGTACGTTTTTTTTAAATCTAGGAATAATTTGTTAGGTGTAAGTTTGTAAAATGAGATATGGGGTTTTTAATCCAAACCTGAACCTTATCAGGGCTGGATCAGAAACTGTTTTATCTTGGTATTCTTTTTGGAACTATATACATGGCTGTGATGCATTTTTTATAAACTTTTGTCTAGTCGCTGTTAAAATATTTCTGGGTGAACAGTAAATTTAATAAATTTCTCAATTTATGCTATGCATAATTATTTCATTTTAGATAAGATTTTTAGTAGACAACTGATGCAAATCAACCAAAATATTTAAAGAATTGAGTCATTGCTACAAATTCAAATATTTTAATCCCTTGCAGCCTAATGGTGGAAAAAAATTTTATTTTAAACTTAGATTAATTGAGCTCAGAAAATTCATAGTTTGGAATATCTAATGTCTACGAAACTGAGTTGCAAAGATAAAGGAATTAGAAAACTAGAGTTTGTGCGAAAGACTGAATTAGGAACATAATAAGAAATAGAACATAGAGAATAAGAATATAATGAGAACTAGAACTAAAGAATAGGAACATGAGAACTAGAACTAGAAAATAGGAACATAATAAGAAATATAACATAGAGAATAGGAGCATAATAAGAACTAGAACTAGATTATTGGAACAAAATGAAAACTAGAACTAGAGAATAGGTACATAATGAGAACTAGAACTAGAGAATAGGAACATAATGAGAACTAGAACAAGAGAATAGGAACATAATGAGAACTAGAACTAGAGAATAGGAATATAAATATAAGAAAGAAAAGGAATAAAATGAAAACTAGAATAAAAAGGAATATCATGAATATGAAAACCGATGAATAGGAATTAAAAATAAAGGGAATACAAGGAATATAAAATTTTTAGAATCGGAAAAACATCATGTTTGAAATCAACGGTAATGATAAATTAACAATCTTGCAAATTAATGTGAATGAATTCAAAGGAAAAGATATAATTAAGGTTGTAAAGTAAGGTTAGATGCGATCCAATGGACGGGAAATGTCGTCTTCATAGCAATAGACGCTCAAAATCCTTTTATACGGTGGTAAGCTATGATTTCACTACAATAAAGACGACTTTTTAAAAAAGTTTTGATTGTTAACAAGCTTTCTTCGAATTACAAGTTTACAAGTAATCAAGCAGAATCTTTTTTAATTGTTAAATTCTCTTGACTTCTATGTTTTTGAGTATCCACGCTGTTTAACAGAGCTTAATTTACATTAAAATTTAATTCGAAAGTCGTCTTTTTTGTATTGATATAATCGCTTACAACTTTACTAAATTAACACTTATCACATTCAACAAATGTTGCCAAGTTTTCTGTTCTGATTCAAGTTTTTAATTTTAGATTTCGTTTACGTTTATTGAGCCGCAATATTCATTATTCTTTAGACTAATAAGTGCACGTCATATGAGGGGTTTGAGCTCCAATGTACGGCATTTAACGTACATTGGAGCTCATCTAGAGTATCTAACCTTACATACAACCTTGGATATAATGAATTTATAATTGTATAATGCTGGTTCTCTCTAACAAAGAAAGGAAGATTAAAAATATCGTCTTCCTTTATACTTTCACGAGAACTAACCATCTACATTAATTCAATAAGAGAAGATAACTAACACCTAACCATCCTACAGTTAGAATTCATTAATCTCTTTGTACAAAGTACACCAAGGTAAGTACACCAAGGTAAGTACACCAAAGTAAGTATAAAGGAAATAAATCGACCCAGGCCGCCCCCTGGACTAAAATTGATTTTTTTCAGTGCAATATATTTTTATCAATACTAATTACTAACAAACTTTGTTATTTATTGAATAGCAGAGATTGAAGACGATTTTTATAAATTGTCACACAATGCTCATGTTTATTGGGACTTTCTGTACTTCCTGACCTACAGCGGTGAACTCCAAACTACTACAAATTACTCTGTTTTCTATTAGGAATACATTAACAAATATACGTATACAAGAAAGTATGATTAAAATCCCTGGTGTCAAAAAAGAAAGGAACTAAGTTTTTGCCACAAACTGAAATTTTCTAATCCTAATATCTCTGCAGCCAATAAACATGGGAATTGATGGACGAATTCGATATCGTCTTTTTAAATAACTAGCCTTAGAGGGCGCTTCGCGCCCGTCTTCTAAATTAATTGTGAACATGTTCTCTTTGTGTACATCGTAAAACAAAACAAAAATAATTCGCGGATTTTCACAAAAAATGTCGTGGATTTTCAAAATTTTAAAAAATTTAATGACGATCAAATTTTGATTGAGACAAATATTTAAAATTTCAATCATTCATAAACCTTCCCTGGGGTCCCTAGATGTCCCACAAAAAATGTGGGCCCGATCGGTTCAGCCGTTTTGACGTTTATTGGATACAAACAGACAGACAGACAAACAGACAGACAAGCCAAATTTATAAATAGATTCTTTGATTTAGTTTAGTGATACCTACTGAGAAAGCGTAATCCGTAAGATTTTCGTCTGCTATGTTCACATTTTTAAAATTTTATTTAGTATTTATCTTTTAAATACAAAATAATAATGTATGATGGTTCAGCTTAAAATAAAACACAAAAGAAAATTTATTATGAGCCAATTTAAAATAATGTTTGATAATTTTGTTTGATCGTTTTTGTTGAAACAAAGTATGCATATTGAAATCTCAACTAAATATACATTCATTGAAGTAGATAATTAGTCAGCACTCAAATAATTAAAACATTTTAAGGAATGCATTCATTGAACTTATAAATACATATTGATTCAGCAAAAGTAACATTGTATTCTCGTTAACTGTAGTAGACTTTGACATCTACCATTAGATTTGTTTATGTTTTGACTGTATACGGTTGTACTTAGTAAAACAAGAAAATTGTAGTATATAAACTACAAACAGAGTAAACTTGTCCGTCTCCACTGTTCATCTTGCGGAGACATTATATACACATCTTTACAGCCATTTACCGTTTTCATACAGAGCGTCCCATATCATATTAGACTTTCTCCAATCTTTAACGCCAAAATACACATATAATACTCAAAAAATCTAGCATTTTCTGCAAGAAAAAAATTCTATTAGCCTTATTAAATTTTTCAAAACGATTCATTCTTCTGAAATTTTCTGATTTGTCCCCTAAATCGTAATTTAGACCCATTGACGCGGTCTAATTTGATGTGGGACACCCTGTAAATAAACTCTAGCAGACATAATAATATGGCTTTTGAAATCAGGTAGTACAATGTTAATTCATAACAAGAACGATGTCGAATTCGTCACTGAATTCCCATGTTTATTGGGACACCCTGTACTTTCAGCTTATATTATTTGATCTGACAGATTTGAAAGTTTGAAATATCTAAGGTCTACAACATTTGGTTGCAAAGATTCAATGTTTTCTTAAGTATTTATATTTTTTCAAATAACACGATAAGTTTCTATAATATATTTTTTACATATTCTGTATACATATAATAAACATATTTTCTTAATTTCATAATAATGTCTTTATAAATAATATTTTGATTTTGATAAAGTCCTTCAGGTTTGAATAGGAACAAGAATCTCGTATTCGTCAATACTGAAACTATAATCTCCAAACAAACTCTCCGGACCAGCTCCCTACAATACCAAAACAGATTAAAATTTAAATAATTTGAGCTACATTGCTGAACAGGTTTAAATTTGAACCACCAATTTAAAGTTGAATATTAAGGAAGGATGTAAATTGGCGATTCAAATTTGAACCGGTGGTGGGCGGTTTATCGGTTCCTGATTTGATAAATTTTCTCGAAAACAGGAAAAAGAAAAAATCTTTGACTTACGTTTACTTAATTCAAAGTTTTACTTAAGACGTGGTTAGAACTTATGAATTATTAATCTCATCAACATTTCTATATCCGTGGTGCTTTCGTCTAGTAAAAGATCGAACAGGAGATAGAAGCACAAAATCGCTTCAAATCCACTGTGGAAATCGCTTCAAATCCACTGTGGAAATCGCTTCAAATCCACTGTGGAAATCGAGTTGAGGAATTGCAGACAGGTATCATTTCTGACCAGTTTTAATTTTTAACTGACAATTAACAATATTACATTACAATTCTTTAACGGTCTAATTCTAGAAAGGTAAAAAACTGGTTATTTTAGTTGTTTTTGTTCAATCTTTGAAGTAATAAACATTTCTAATTAGAGAAATTTAAATTCTAGTTTTGGCCGGTTTCAGTCAAAGGGTTTCTTTAAAAAAAAAAACAATGAATTTTTAATAAAACGCACTTTTAATTTCAAATTGTTGAAATATACTTTACGTGAAAGGATTTCTTTCGGATTGCAACAAAATGTTCTCCTTTTCTACGAATTCAAAATGTAAATTTTTTGTTAATGAAAATTTAATATTCTTATCAATATCTGTTTATTTTGATTAATAAAAAGAGAATAATTTAAGAAGGTGAAATTTAACAGAATCATATGATTAGAAGATATGTTTGGCGTAGGAAGTTATTTTCGTAATATTTATTTGTTTGGTCTTTGTTTACAGGGACATACAGAATATAATCAGGGGGGGGGGGCTTGTTATAATTATTTTTATTTACAAATACTCTACAGGGACTTAAGGGAATCTTAATTTACCACGGGTTCTCGAGACCAATTTTGTCTACAAAACATCCAGAGCGCAGCGAGAGATGTTTTGTAGACAAAATTGGTCGAGGCCGACCCGTGGTTAGGCAAATTTAATTTCCGGAAAAAGTAATTGTAAATAAAAATAATTATAACTTTTTTCCCGAAAACTTTGCAGAACGGGTGATTATTTTACATAACTGTCCCAAGGGACGAAAAGTAGTTGTTGAAGCTTAAAAGAAACATATAATCCCCCCCCCCTCTTCCACTCCATATGTTCTAGAATAACATTTAAACTTTTATCTGATAAAAGATATGATTAACCAATTAATAGAAATTTACGACTAGTTTTACTTTCAAAACACAACATCAATAGAGAAAAACAAAAATATGTCTTCATCTTCGAAAAGTTCATAGGATACCGCATTGTTAGTCATTGATGGCACTTTTTAAATGTAGGACCATTTATAATCATGTTCGCAGACTCTTAAATGGTTTAAATGTAATGGGGTTTATGATTGGGAGCCGGTGGCCGGGGGGGGGTTGGTTGGTTTAGAACTACCTGTCCGTCATAGCTGTGAGGTAGGTTAGAGTAACTATCAGCCTGCTGATCACAACCATCACAGATAAATAGATCAGCTCCTGCTCCAAATACAGGACCACACTCTGGATGATGAGATACAGCAAACAGTTTCTTCTTGATCTCAAACTTTGCCGGAGATCTTCCAGGATTATGGAGAGAGAAGAGAAATGATTTATCAGAGGAAACATATCTTCCTTTACCAACAGGACGGGACCAGGGGATATCAGTGTATCCACCCCCAATACAACCTAGATTGCATGGATATCTATATAATAAAACAAGACATTCATATATATGTTGCCTACGTCCGCCCAAACGGCTGGACCGAATGGGCTGAAATTTTTGGTGGACTCCTATCAGTGTATCGACCCCCAATACAACCTATCTAACAAGGATATATAAATATATACATGGACCATCAGGGGATATCAGTATATAAATCACCAATACAACCTAGATTACAGGGACATATTTATGATGGGCGGATTTTTGGTAATGACAATTTGGTAACGACAATTTGGTAATGACAATTTGGTAATGAAAATTTGGTAAGCTCACAAAAGTGACAATTTGGAAATGACAAACTGGTAACAACAAAAAAGTGACAATTTGGTAATAAAAATTTGGTACCGTCATAAAAGTGACAATTTGGTAAGCGAAATAAAAGTGAAATTATGTAAAATTGTTTAATTTTAATTTTTATATTCAATTGAAGAAAATTGATTCTAAAAATCTTTTATTTCTGCACAAAAGAAATGCGTCAAACATAATTGTAAAATTCGCAATATTTTCTAAAAACCAAGTTTCAACCTGCACTTGTGTCATATAATGCAAGAAGAGAAGACTTGGATCATAGATTACTTATTCATCACCCCTTCTAGGGTGGCAAAATGTTACAAGATTCAGAAGGATTTAAATACTACAACTCAATGTTAGAAAGTTATTAATGTTACTTTACCAAACTGTCCCTTTCATAATCTAAATCAACATTTAACATTTAAGAGGATGCAGTGCTTGGCCCCTAGCCCATCCTAGCCGCAGAGCTCGGCCCAGAAATGGTCTTAACCTAACCTAACCCAAAATAATGTGAGAAACAGCACATTATTTAACATTTAATAGCCCGCAGCGTAGCCCATTATAGCCGCAGCGCTCGGCCCAGAAATTGTCTTAACCTAACCTAACCCAAAATAATGAGAGAAACAGCACATTATTTAACATTTAATAGGCCGCAGCACTCGGCCCCCTAGCCCATCCTAGCTGCAGCGCTCGGCCCAGAAATTGTCTTAACCTAACCTAACCCTAAATAATGTGAAAAACAGCAAATTATTAAACATTAAATTGAATTAAATTTAACTTTTATCAACAAATTGTTACCATATTGTCATTACCAAATTGTCACTTTTTTGTAGTTACCAATTTGTCATTACCAAATTGTCACTTTTGTGAGCTTACCAAATTGTCGTTACCAAATTGTCGCCTTACCAAATTGTCATTACCAGTTTGTCATTTCCAAATTGTCACTTTTGTGAGCTTACCAAATTTTCATTACCAAATTGTCATTACCAAATTGTCATTACCAAATTGTCATTAACAAATTGTCATTACCAAATTGTCATTACCAAATTGACATTACCTAAAATCCGCCCGTCATATTTATATATAAACATATATCCTCTGGTCCCTATATATATATATATATTAGTATATTAGCTCGAATAAAAACTACATGAATATTTATAACTGACCTGTGTCTGCTTTTACTATAACATAGGACGGAGCTGCGCCATCACACATCCTGTGAAAAGCTTGAGCGGAGAAAGCATGCTCCGAACCTTTAAATATCACTGTCCAGGCCTGGTTAGGAGTTCCAGCCCATCCATTCAAAACCTTCTCATAGTAGGAGATACTACTCTCCGTCCCCATAGCGGAGAGAATTGAGGATCCGTGGAATAGTTTGGTTGGGTTCTGCTGGTTTGATCTCTGGTAAGTATGTTGTCTAGGATCTAACTCTACTCTAGGATTGAGTCTACTCAGATCTTCTGCTAATCTCAACCTTTGATTTTCTTCTTGTCTTGAGCGTAGATCTTGTCTTGATGGAGGAAATGCTCTAGTACACTCTACCCTGCTTCCTGGCTTACTGGTTGGATTCGTCCTCGATTCAGTATCTTCTTCTCCTCTGGATCCGTCCTGGAGAATCCTCCTGTTATCCAGGTAGGGTGAAACCTCTTTGCTGGTTTTATGCAGGGGTTTAGGTTGAAAACTATCCTGGTTGGTTGAATGTCTGTATCTATGAACGGTTTGTTCAATAGGTACAGCTCCGGTCGGTTCAACTTCCTCCTCAAACACTGCAGAGTCTATATTTAGAATCCGGATACATTGAACCAACCCGTCCAGGACTAATCGGATTTGTAAACGCTGGTCTTCCGGCCAGTGCTTGGGAGAAACAGATTCGTCAATCCCGACCTGCAATCTCGCCCATTCAATGCAAAGTCTCCACACCTCGTTTTCGTCAAGCTGAAGAACTCCGGATTTGATCAGTGCAATCATTCCATCCTTGCCGATGGTCTTTAACCGTTTACTATCTCTCAGTGCTATGAGATTTTCTTTAACAAAATTTCCCAACATTTTTAAAGTTTCTTTTCCGGCGCCATCGTCTTTGAACACCATGATACACTGGTTTAATAGATCAGAAACAGAACTTAATGTAAGCGAACTACTTACATAACTAAGGCTTAAACATGATAAACTAGAAACTCCAAAGTATTCACTGAGTTTTAAAAGTTCAAATATGTTGAGGTTATCCAGTATAAGCCTACCACTGTACAAATAATGTTTAAAACTTTTAAAAACATTGGTTTGAACTAGGATCATTTTTACAGGTTCTTTCCCTCCTTTAATGTATTCGGAGGTACGTAGTACATCTTGGAAATTTTGACACCGGATCCGAAATATTGAGAGATGACAGAAATGGATTGTCTCTTCTCTTCCTGTGATAAAAACTATATCTGAGCTCTCCTGTTCTGCCTCAAGCCTAGATATGTCATTGCTCAGGGATTTAAGATCTTCAAGAGTTCTAGACTCCATACTCTCCCTACTTATCCTCATAGCTCTAGGTTCACCCTGTACACTGGATAGATGAAATATTTCAAGTTCCACCCGGTGTAAACAGTACACTGGGCTTAGGATAGATAGAATATTTCAAGTTACACCCGGTGTAAACAGGGTTTAGGATACTTGTCAAGTTTCAGGATCACAAGCTCCAGGTCTACCCTGAGCACCAGGGGTTTAGGATTGTACTGGAGTAATTTAAGATTTAGGTCTAGTACCCTAAGGCACAGGTTAACACAGGTTACATTACTCAACCAACCTTCTAGAAGGAATGGGTTGCAAAACATCAAAACATAAACACCATCTTCCAGCTAGAGCATCCGTTTAGGAAGAACATTGATGATAAAATCTGTTTCATCATCATCAGATCCATATTTTGAGACAAATGACCAATATTATTTTAAACAAACATATGCCATAGATGATACATTTAACCCTTTCTTTTCAAAACCTTCTGAAAAAAAGATAGATCTTCCAGGGTGAATATTTCTATTAAAAGTGGCCGGTTACTGAATGAAGAATGATTACCCCTGAATACAGGTAGATGGTTTACCAGGAGGCGAACCATCCTAAACCAATACTTTCTACCTGAGCACTCAACAACCATCAGATAGGAACTCACCAGCATCAAGTTTACAAATCTTCTTCACTTCCTTATATCATCATTCACAAATATTACTTTACCTTCACCCTTCTAGACTTTTGTAAACCTAATCTTGAAATGAAATTTGGTTAAAATATTAAAAAAATTTCTTAATGTTGTGTTAGGTTGAGTTCCTTTATTTACCCAGGTAGGTAGAAGGTGTGTGTAGTGTTTGTGAATTCCAAGGGTAAGGACGTGAAACTATGTAAACCAGAAAACAAAAAGAATAATAATGAACTTTAAAAAACGTTCTCTTATATTTGTCACTTTTTTCGTGAGTTGTTTCTGTATCTCTCTGCTTGGAGCAGCACTGGGTACAGAACACTGGGTGGAGGCGGGGTGCAGACGGGAAGGAGATTTTAGTGAGAAATCAAATGGAACTGTTAATTTTGGATTGTTCCAAGGATCCCGACATCTAAACTCCGGACTCGGAGATAGATACTATCCAATGAATATGCTTCAAATTCTCTACAGGTCAGAAATTAATTAAGAATCTAAGAACAAAGTTTCTTTGTACAGGGTGCCGTAAGAAACATGATTTCAATTTTTGATGGTTAATAAATTGTCAATTACTTATGTAATGATTGTGCTACTTTAACTGAGCTTTTTTTAAAGTAACAATTTGGAATTTTTCACAATTTTGATTACATTTAAGAAACTTAAACGTGGCCTAACATCTCCATATCTAACTTAAGGTACAGAAACATGCGAACCACATTTCGGTAATTCCATGAATTAAGGTTTTATAAACACAGCGTCTGCGTAGATCGAAAAATGAATGCATTTTAAAACCACTGTCCTTTCGAAACCTCGTTTTATATGTTTCAATACATTACTATCTCCAATTAACGAATTTATATTTTTGAAAGATTATATAAAATAGGCTGCATGGTTTTTACTGCATTGAAAATAAAGTTTATAATTTTTTGAATGTTTTTTTTTTAATGGTTTGTTTTGTTTCAGAGAGCGAAGCTTCCTACAATATGAGCTGTATATCTCTACAATAGCTCTGGTTTCCGGCGGAATATTATTCGGTATATTCGCCTCATTACTCGCCATAGTCAATACAGCGTACAACCCTATAGAGGCAATATGTCACGTTCCAGGTAACAAAACAGAAACTTTTTTCACGCACTTTTTGCATTATTTTTAATCAACTACTGCTTTTTTGAAATTATGTTTGCAACTAGTGAATTGATTAAACGAATTATTTTTTTTGGTCTAGAAATGAATTTTCTTCTTGCGAGTGTCTGACTTACTTTTTAATTTTTAAACCAGTTCCTAGAAATAGAAAGCCTGTATAAGGACTGCAGTGGACGTAGTTTTAAAGGACCCTCCATTGATAGAGCTGCATATCAGATTCACAACTGCACCCTTAAAAGCTTTGTCTGACAAGTATAAATTAGATATCCATGCTTTTGTTTTTGGAAACTGATTGTTCTAATTTGTGGGTTCTCTACAAAAGTTAATTTATGGCTTCAGAGACAAAAAAGAAATTAACATAATTAAACACTTTTCAAACGATGGTTTCTGCTATAATATCGACCAGATTAAAATTTCAAGGGTACTGTTAAAAATTGAGCATGTCCCTTTCTAAATGAGAGGTCTCGCTTTCAATGACCCTAGAGCCTATATTAATTAATACTCATCATGGTTGTTGCTATACGGAGGAATTAAATGTTTTAAACGTAATTTAAATTGTAAAAGACATTCGAATTCAAATAATCTGTTTGAAATATTTTATTCGAATTAATATTGGATTATATATGCTTAAATACATTAAATATTTTATAAAATATGTTCTCTTTAGAGAGACTGACGTTGTAATTTTAAGCGAACTTTCATTTAAAGAAGGGCATTCACGATTCACAGGGGCTGGTACCCTTGAAACCTTTATCTCAGCAAAAATGTAGAAGATATTGTAGTTTTCCTAACTGTAAGACGGTTTTAAAGGGAAACCATAATTGAAAATAATCCAATTTCTTAAAGAGAAACATGAATAGCTCATTCAATCTTTATCAGACAAAGAATTAAAGGGTTCTGTTGTAAATCGTACATGCAGCTCTTCATTAGGAGGGTCACATGGAAATTCGTTTACAGTCCCTTTAATGGTAAAATTATTTCAAGTAGGATGAACTAAAAGTAGGTTTAGTAAGATACTGTGAGAAGGATAAAATAAACTTCTTGGAAATATTTCTGGAAATTAGTAGAAATATTCTTGTTTTTATCTTTATGCACTATAACAAAGTACACACACTGGAACAAGTACAAACTTTCTCATCATATTTGAATCAAAATACTTGTTCTTTAAGTCAGTGATTCTTTGCTTACAAATCCCATTTTCACACAATAATAGTATCTTTTTGGGTTTTTAGCATGAAACATATAATATTTTAAATGATATGATTAAAAAATGGCTGGATAATGTGGAAAGGAAAAATAAAAGAAGCGTAAAGATGTTTCTTTATTTACATACAGTAGTCGCCATGGTCACCATATATATCAATACAGTGTCGGTTACTGAAAGGGTCACGTATTACAATTTTAGTACCTAATATTTATAAAGAACGATTTGGACAAATACTAAGATTATATTTTTCATGATTTGCGCTTAGATAGAAAACCCTTTTTAATTTTATACAATTTTGGTTTGTCCCAATAAAATATTTGTTTAAGGTTTGTACCTGACCAATGGGTTGGCTATGCTCTCTAGCCTAGCAGCCTTCATTACCTGGATGGTTCAGTTCTACACTAAACTTACACACAACGTTCTTATTCGAGAGGACAGGTATATTTACGCGGCATTCGATCTTTTCTTAATCCAAACCTGATATATGGAGTTCACAATGAGATTTTACAAGAAGTAAAGAGACCCTTATGGTCGATAAACACCTACACCCTGGTCTAACCAGGGTGTAGGTGATTTTAATCTTGTTTGGTCTAAACCTCAGAGGGGGGGAAAATTTGAACCATAAATTCAAAACATTTGGCTTCTTTAAAGGTACACATACACTATACAGTCCAATTAACATACAAGGATTACTTCATTTCTCCATCAAATAAAGCTAGTAGAAAAAACAGCAAATTAATGTTTAAAACTCTTCACTCTTCAGTTTCAGATTTGAAAAGTGTGATAGCTCTCAGTTCTAGGGGGGGGGATACGCTTCCCCCACTTTACAGGTCTAGGTGGGGCACTGCCCCCCTTCCCCCCCCTGTATACGCCCTTGCAAATTAGAATTAAAGTCACATCTTACTTTTAGATCAAAGTAAAGTTTAGGTTGTCAGACATTATAAAAAAAAACTAGACTTTTTTTTGACAACTATGGTTTGTGGATGAGTTTTACATCATTTGATATTAGTACCAAATCCCTGTAATTCTTCAATATAAAAATAGAAAATACTTTTATCATGCAATTTGTTAAAATCTGAATACTTTATCAATTCGCCGAATCGTCATGAGATCTTGATCATTGGAAATTGTGGGATTTTTATCCAATAATTATTTTTATTCTAAACCTTACAGAGAGGAGGGTAGATGGAGAAGTGATGGAATGGCAATCTACGGATATTCATTTTGGTTAACCGTAATCGCTACTGTCTGCTACTTAATCAACATTGGGATAATATCATACGCAACCTGGGACCCAGTCGTCAAGAAGAAGGTTAGAATTTTGAATAATATTTTAGTCGAAAACGAATTTAAAGAAAAATAAAACCTTTTATATTTCTTTTTATATTTCAGACAAAACACTTTGAGAGTTTACCAGCGAAGCAAACCGGAGATACAATGCTTTACTGAACCATGGAGCATTCATATCACAGAGTAACTTTATAGTAACCATTAAATCATGAAGGATTTATATCATAGAGTAACCTCAGAGTAAACATAAACTATTCTAGTATTCATTGCATCATGGAGGATTAAAATCATAGAATTACCATAGAGTAAACATAATATACTCATTACATCCTGAAGGATTTATATTATAGAACCTTAGAGTAAACATAATATATTCATTACATCATGAAGGATTCATATTATAGAACCTTAGAGTAAACATAAAATACTCATTACATCATGAAGGATTTATATTATAGAACCTTAGAGTAAACATAATATACATACTCATTACATCATGAAGGGTTTATATTATAGAACCTTAGAGTAAACATAAAATACTCATTACATCATGAAGGATTTATATTATAGAACCTTAGAGNTGACCAGAATATTTCATTGATTTTATTTGTGAAAGATGGATCACATGTCAGGCTTTGACATACGTCTTGTGTTTACATTACCGCCCAGAGCCCAAAACTTAAGACATGGTATCGTTATGAAAACCAGTTTTGGAACCCGGGTTTCACAAATGGGTTTACCCAGTTTTGTGGATATCGATATATTTGTTTTGAAATATTATTTTATTTAGTTTCTTCATATTTTACCATTTTTTCGGATCTCTTAAATAAAAATCTACACAAATGTTAAGACCCCAAAAAGGAAACCCGGGAGTTTCGTTCAACGATACTTTTTTAAATTTCGGGCTCAGAGACAGTACACTGCAGTACAAAAGATGTGTACACTTCTGAAATAACTTTCCTTGCATTACATTCTTGGTATGGATTGTGTCCAAAAACGTCAAAAGGGCAGAACACATCATGTACAACTTTTTTGCATGGCCTAATATTTATGACTAAACTTAACCAATGAATACATGAGAACCCACAAATATGTTTTGTTAATTATTTAAAATGTAGGACTAAGAAAGAGATAAACAGCAAAAAGCTAATGTAAAATTAAGAATGAGAGAGGGGCGAAGAACCCTGTGACCTTAGTATTCAAATACAGGGTTACTCACAAAGCATAAGCTGACGACCTAGATGTTTCATGTTTGTAATTTGTAATTTTGAAACAAATGGTGTTGCTTATTGAAATACAACTTAAGTATGATAATAAAGTAAAATATTGGATGCTAGTAATAATTTTGGCTTTTAACTGTTGATTTTCAAGCGGCAATTTTGGCGAATTTTTCTGTTTAAATTCATAAATTTTCAGATATCGTTAAAAATTGATATTTTTTCATACATATTTTTAAATTTCTCTCGGTCATGTTAGTTGCTACAAAAAATGGACCCTTTCAGTTCAGCCTTTTCCATGTTTATTGGGACACCCTGTAGTGTAATGGATAGCAATGTGTTTTTAACTATCCCCTTATCATCAGGTTCTCTTTATACAAATGTATATCAGGTACAGTATGATCTTTATTAAATGTAACAAAATAAAGCATGCTTTGCGCATTCTCATATACGAGGATATCTAACTATTTCTTTGCAGATTTTTCTGCCTTCTGCATATTACTTTGCATATCTGTCTGTTTGTATCCAATAAACGTCAAAACGGCTGAACCGATTGGGCCCAAATTTTGTTTGGGACCTCACATGAACCCTAGGAAGGTTTATAGAAGCTCAAAATTACAAATTTTGATTTTTGTAAAATGTTGAAAATTCGCAAAAAATATTATTAACTCCGCGATCTTTGTTGTTACTGTTTTATATTAATCAAAGAGAAGATGTTCACAGATAGAACCACAATTAAAAGTTGAAATAGAAGATGGGCGCGAATTGCTCAAATTCTAATTACTTACATTTCCTAAAGATCACACTGTATTATTTATTTCCATGTTTACGACTTACCTATACAGAAATATGGCGTATTATACATTAATATATGTCCTTGATATGCGTACCTAAATATAACACGAACGTTTTTTAACGTTTTCAATCCTGAACCTGTCTTTAAAGGAACTGTTCACATATTTGAGAAGATAATCACAAAGAATTACCATCAATGATAATAAATATCGTATTGTGATTTGTGATAATCATCATTTCTTTTCTGCATTGCTAACGCTTTTCGGTATGCACTGTTATATTGTGTAATGCGACTTAAAGGGAGTGACCGGCAATGTATGTTAGTTGAACTGGAAATGTAGTACGTAGTAGAGAAATGTTTTAGAAATAATTTGAGACATATGAAACGTTTTTACGGTGCATATTTGTTTAGCAAGAGCGCAAATTCAATCTTTAAAATCCTCATAGATTGTTCATTTTTGAGAGATGATTTTGAGAATCGGTTTAAAAAAATTATTGAATAACGACGACAAAAAATGTGATAAAAATTCTAAAGTAAGCTAATTAGTTGTTTAGGAACAGGTTGAGAAAATAAAAATTAATTATCATCATCGAAAATAAGCAATCTTATTCAGTTATTGTTCAAAAACATTTTCTCTGGATTTCCTGTAATATTTATTGAAACGACGACATTTGTAAATTTGAAGAAATCTGCGAACAAATTCATAATGAGTTTTAATATAATGATGAAAAAGAAATAATTGATTCTAACATTGATTTATTTAGAAAATTTCAATGTTCCTTAATATCTAATTAGTAATTACTGTAGAATTAACATCTACTTAGTAATTACTGTAGAATTAACATCTAATTAGTAATTACTGTAGAATTAACATCTAATTAGTAATTACTGTAGAATTAACATCTAATTAGTAATTACTGTAGAATTTTTTTTACATTTTTTGTCGTCGTCTAATAATTAAAAAAAATCGAATCTCAAAACGTGACCACCCAAATGTATGATTTAAACGTCAACTTTGCGCTCAAAATCAGTAATTATACATCATGAAAACGTTTCATATGTCTCAAATGAATCCTAAAAAATTTCTCCTCAATACTACATTCTCAGTTCAAATACTATAAATTGCCGGTCACTCCCTTTAAGGTATTTCAGACTGATTTTGTTTTGATAAAACAACAGAAAATTCTAACCCTACAAATAAAATAAATTATATGGCTGTCATAAAATAATGAATTTGATTTCAAAGTAAAACATATTTGAGTAAAAGAATTTTTTTAACGAAATAAACTGCGAAAAGTCTTTAATATATAATACAGTATGTGGAGGAAGACATTCACAACTATTCACCAGCTGTCATGTTTCGTGGGACACCCTGTATCTATAATTTGAATATTCGAAAAAGGAAAATCGTGTTTTTCTTGTAAAATCCTCGATGTTTTCTTCATGTGCAATTAAATAGTCCGATTCTACAGTAAGAAAATTTAGTTCGAGAAGGAGTTTTGACATTTAAATGTTGTGACTGAGGCACTGTTCCTCCTATAAAGAGTTAGGCCAATCCTTAAAATAATTTAAAATTCAGATAAGAAAAATTCATTTGAATTTTTACGATTCGACTTTGTCTTTTGTTCTACAAAGAGTTCAAAAGTTCGAAGCACTTTCTTTCAAATCAAATTAATTATCCGATGAAAACTGTACTTCACCCTGTACAGTGTACACTGTTAGAATAAACCCTAACAATTAATTCGTAAAATTGAATTTACCGAAAACATTTTGAAATTACAATTATTTAGTTCGAAATAACTAACATAATGTAAGGAATATAAAATTTGTGAGATATTCCTGATATTTTTTCCCATAATTTCGAACATTTTGTTAATAATTTCGAACAATTTAGTTATAATTTCCAACATTATCTAGATAATTTCGAACATTTTGTTCATAATTTCGAACATTTTGAACATAATTTCGAACATTATGTTCATAATTTCTAATATTTTGTTCATTTTTTCGAATATTTGTTAATAATTTCGAATATTTTGTACATTTTTTCGAATATTTGTTAATAATTTCGAATATTTTGTATATTATTACGAATATTTTGTTCACAATTTCAAACATTTTGGTCATAATTTCGAACATTTTGTTCATAATTTCAAACATTTTGTTCATAATTTCGAATATTATGTTCATAATCTCGAATATTTTGATCATTATTTCGAATATTTTTTCATTATTTCGGTTATTTTGTTCATAATTTCGAACAAAATGTTGATAATTTCGAATATTTTGAAAATGTTTTCGGTAAGTTTAACTTTACGAATTAAATGTTTATGGTGTATATTGTAAACACTAAATATCAACTAGAGTCTATTGAAATAATAAGAAGAGAATCACAGAGGTTTATTTTGACTTTCTTGTGTTTCCTTAGAACAAGGAAATAAAAAAACGATTATCTAGAATATGAAAACTTGAATTAAAATATTGTCGTGGGGGCTTGTATTGAATTACCTAGAGAACGTGAAACCTTGTATTATTATGATAAGTTCTGGTGGGAGAAGAGAATATAAAATATATGTGTTAATATAAAACTGTAGAGAGAGGAGATGTTCTTACAAGGAAATATCCGCATTGGCAACATTGATTTAATATAGTTTAAACAAGTTTATAAAAGAAGTATCTTAATTTCTTGCTAAACTTTCAAATTAAATTATCAATTGAAAATATTTCTTGATATATTGTCTAGCAATGGGTAGATGGGGGGGGGGGGGGTAGAAACTACATGGGTCGTAGCACAAGGTGGGCAAAGAAACTGTTTTATTATGGAGCCACCTTGCACAAGTTTATAGGGTTAAGATGGTGAAGGTGGGAACAATAATTTACAGGATGGAAGGAGTTAAAATAAAACTGTCCAGTGCTAGGGCAGAAATGCTAGATTAAAATTCATAAACAAATATTTTATAAAATTTACAACCACGTGTTTAATCATGTGTAAAGACAATAAGATTTTTTTGTGCATATACTTCACTAAGAACAAATTTGTGATTAAACTCCTAACTTAAAATAAAAAAAAAGTTCTGGAAAGAGAAATATTTCTTTGAAACCATATTTTGATAAAGATCGAAATATATTTGGCGGTTTGCTTGTCACGCCAAGTGTCTTCATTTACTAAATTATTAATGAAAGATAAACTAGCATTCATCCCTCAGAGATGGAAAAGGTTGATATTCTAAAAGAGAAATATTTACTTGATATCATCTAAAATTGTTGCAGTATTTTTTGTGTGGGGGAGGTTTGGTAAAGATTAGAAGTCTTGCCAAATGAGATTGATTTTTTCGTGTACTTGTATAGCTATAATCTAAACAAAAGTCATAGCAAGTCGTCTTCGTCATATTTACCAAACCAAATTTTCCCTTCTTGCATGTAGCCATTTTCTATTTCGTTACTTTGAAAAATGGCGACCCAGGGTGTTCCAACAATATAGATACAAAACAAGATATCACAGGCTTTATGGGAGAAAAAATTTTGAGAAATAAAACAGATTGATTCTTAAGGGGAGCTAGGCATTAAAAACATAGCTCATTAGAATTTGTAAGGGAGTAGTGCAGTACATGAAAACAGTACGAATGGTGGGCTTGGCTAGGTCGCCTGAAGATTGGTGTTGGATGGTACTAGGGGTACATGAACTATCAAGAACAAGATATGGAAATGAATGTAGGGTAGATATGTCTAAGAAAACCAGGAGAACCAAGAGTCCTGAGCTAAAAAGTTTCTCATTTGTTCAACAAAATATATGTTTAACGGGAAGTTTAGCAAGTTTTGCTGAACAAACAACATTAAAAGGTTGGATTAAAAAAGGTGAGAAACTAAACATTTATAGGATATTATACAAAACTAAAGTTAAGGATGAGGATAAATCATACAAAGAGTTGATGCTAAGAAGTGCACAGCACTGAAGTAAAAATGTAGATTGTAGAGTGGAAAGCTGTGTCTTGCTGTACAATGTTATATTTTCAATAGTCTTCATCATAACGTTGTCGAAGTGTTTGAAAATCGTCTTTTCCCTGGAAATTTCTCGGCCGAGGTTCGGCAAAGAAGTCTCTTTGTTGGAACTGATCTCCGTCATATCTTTCAAATCTGTCCGGATAATCCTGGAGGGAAGGAAGAGGTACGTGAGCAGGTTGTCGGAGCGGTTCATCCCTTCTCCGTTCATCCCATCCCTCAGATTCATTGAATCTGTAATCTCTATCATCAATAGACCGCCTAAAATATTCGTCGTTATTTTGAGAGAATTTTTAAAGAAATTGCCATGAATTTAAAAAGCTTTATTGGAAAAACGATGAAACAGGTATCTTTGGATGAATAAAGGAGCAAAGAAAGATATCAAACTTTGCTTTATTCCGGTCAAAAAAGAGGTAAGTTTTTAACATCCTTCTGCAAATTATTGCAATTTGTAAAAGTGGTTCTGAGAAAATGATTAAGTCGAAGGGTAAACGTAAAATTACATTAAAATTTCAAATTTCCAGGGCTAGGATTAATAAGTATTCTTAAAGAATTTGGAAAATCAAGTTTTCCATCTCTTTATTTTTGTGAAGTAATAAACGACTTCAATTTCTTTACTCAACCCAGACTGTTTCATTATCTGACCCTTTTAACCGAACCCGTCTTACTCTACCATACACTTTAAAGTCATGGAGTTTATGGAATTGTTTCCAAGTAAATTTGATCAAGATCGACATATTTCACAACTTTTCAAACTTATCCAATGTTGAAAACTGAAGGGACAAATATAAATACATACCCTCGTTCAACATAAGGATCTCCTCGCGGTCTCCGAGGTCCGTATTCATCTAGGTGAGGCTGACCTCTTCGAGGAGGAGGGGGCAGCGCGTGATTTGGTTCTGGAGGAAACTCCTCCGTGTGATGAAAACTACCCTGAGGAGTGAGACCTCCATGATTGGATTCGTGTTGGGATGGAATCCCTAGTCCTGATCCATGATGGGATCCGTGATGGGATCCCGGAACTGGAGCTGATCCGTGATGGGATCCTGGAGCAGGAACTGATCCATGATGGGATCCCGGAACAGGAACTGGAGCATGGTTTGAACCAACACTACCATGAGCAGAACCTTGCTTGCTATGGTTTTGAAGGATTGGAGCAGGATCTCTGCGTCCTAAGCTCGGAGAAGTGTTTGGATCTGGGAGTTGTGATTGATGATTTTGAATTGGTCCTTTCTTCGGAGGAACTGCAGCCCGCCAATATGCCTGAAATTAATAAAGAGTTATTTCGTTTTTATGATTTGGAATATAGAAACTGTTTTTCTAATTATTGATAATTTCACTTTGTTCTTTCGGCAAAAAGTGAAAAATTTAAATAATATCCACCAAATAACTACTAATGTGCTTAAAATTTTAAATCAAACTAAATTAAAAGCAGATTTTTGAAGATTTAAATTCTTGAATAAAATGTCACCTCTAGGTACTCTGCTATATGGAGACATGCTTCATCAAGTTGATTTTCATCTAGGATAACATCAAACATCTCAGGAGGACATTGGGCCAACTTTTCGGCGGCCACCAGCTGGACGTTGATATTACGGGATTGAGCCTGAAATAATTTCATTTTATTAGATTTCAGAGATTCTAATTATATACTTTGCTTGTCGTCAAAACGGCTAAACCGATCGCACCATAATTTTCAATGGCAACTCAAATGATCCCAGGGAAGGTTTATGGCTGGTCGAAGTTGACAAATTTGTTCTGGAAATAAATGTCGACTTTTTTTTTTGTTTAAAAAGCACCAATTTGAACAGTAAAATCTGCTAATTCTTGAGTTTTACAGCTACGAAGAAATATTGTTGAATTGAAAGGCAATATTAAAAGCGACCTGAACGCCTACTATAAAATAAGTTTGTCAATCAGGTTTAATTTTGCTGTTCAAAATTCTCATTAATTTTTATTTTAAAATGTTAAAATTTTTAAAAAATATCATCTCAAGAGTAAATCTAAATCTTCGTTTTGCACGCCAAAAAAAAATAATAACCCAAAATATACGAACTTATATAGGTTAGAGTATCCTGGGAATCTGAAACATAGTATTCTTGCAATCTAGTACACAGTATCCTTGCAATCTAGTACACAGTATCCTTCCAATCTAGTACACAGTATCCTTACAATCTATTACACAGTATTCTTTCAATCTAGTACATAGTATCTTTCAATCTAGTACAGAGTATCCTTACAATCTAGTACGTATCCTTGCAATCTAGTATACAGTATCTTTGCAATCCAGTACACAGTATCCTTACAATCCAGTACACAGTATCCTTGCAATCCAGTACACACTATCCTTACAATCTAGTACACAGTATCCTTGCAATCTAGTACACAGTATCCTTGCAATCTATTACACAGTATCCTTTAGTATCCTTGCAATCTAGTACACAGTATCCTTACAATCTAGTACACAGTATCCTTGCAATCTAGTACACAGTATCCTTGTAATCTAGTAAACACAGTATATATAAAGTCTTTGACCCCTTTAAATCTAAAGCTTGATTGATTTCAAATTGTATAAACAATCCTTTTATTGGAGATATTAGTATTTGTAAAGGAAGTTAGGTTTCACAACTTCTCTATTTATTTATCTAATTGATATTTGATTGATGAAAACTTCAATAAAGTCCCTCCCTTTGCTAAGTCAGATATGCGCCAAAGAGTTAAAAATGATCAAAAAGGGATTGAATAAACTAATATAGGGATTTAGAACTAAAATAGTGTATGGGGCGAGTTATCCGTCCCCGTTCCCCCATAGTACTTGTAAAAACGCTGAATTAAACTTTAAATCGTTATTTTTCAGTTTTCCGGCTGTTTTGACATTTAAAGTTTAAAAAAGAAGAAATTCTCACCTTTCCACGGGATTTTATTAATCTCTGTAAAACCTTAGGACTGGAAATCTTTAGGTACACAATAATCGGAGCCAAGGAGGTTTTTGCAAGTTGTGAGGGATGGTTCACCGTGTCACAGTCTAGTACTATCAACTGCATGGATCTACTAAGCTCAAAGATCCGTTCAATCTCTGCCTGAACCTCGGCAAGATTGTTAGACCTAGAGCTGGATTTCTCCAGGATCGCCCGCTTGGAAGGATTATTCAAGACAGATTTCTTTCCTAAAGAAATATCCGCAGACACTCGAGTTATGATAATTCGTCCTTCAAACTTATTTTTTAAGAATTCGAACACAGCTTTTTGCATCATATCAGTAACCTCGTATCCCTTGAGGGACGGTCCTACCAAGACCAACGGTCTTATGCTAGGCACTACATCATAAGGTGACAAGGTCTCTTGCTTTTTACCGAGTAGTCCTTTCTTTTTTTCAATCACTGGGGGTGCCGTCACTTTAACTCCGCCCCCTTCGGTCCCGTTCTGCTCCGGTTCCAACCCTGTTAATGGAGGTGTTCCTCCTCCAATCCTTGTATTCAGGTTCTGTAAATTCCCAGCACTGCAGTTCAATAATTCTCAATAGATTAAGGATTCAGAGTATACTTGGTAACATCTGCAACAACGAGATAAACAGAAATATATTCCGATAAAACCGCCATTTTTTTAACAAATATAATCAAAAACATTTTTTTGCAGATCCCTTTCTAACAAAGTGGGTTAACTGGTGTATAAGCTATGATGGCTTTAATTGCCAAATATCCAATATCAGTTATAGAAAGAATCACGAAATATTACTGAATAAGAATTATTCCTGAGAGATTTAACTTTTGATCCCTTTCCCGCTGGAGCCTGCTGTAGGATAAGCTGCTCTAGCTTAGCTGGTGAGGGGATGAAACCAATATCACAACTTTCTCGAACCTTCCGTCCAATCCACCAGTTACTATCATACTTCTCAAATATGTGAAGAAAATCTCCAATTTTGAAACTAAACAAAAAAAATCGCGTCAAACTTTTAATTTCTAAACTGTGCTTGAGTTTGATTTATGTACCTTACTGCACTCCCATGTACCGGAGAATCATCATCTAACGATCCGTCGTACATAACGTTAGTCCGCACACTGAAGGCAACCGGCTTGTTGTTTGCTTTATCAAGAGCAACCAAAGCTTGTGCCTCGTTTCCTCCTCCTCGTCCTACTCGACCAATTTCTCCTCCATGCGGAGGAAACATGTGTCCAGCCCGCCTACCACCTTCCCCATACGGGAGGGGATCGCTAACATATCCATGATCAGTTGAATATCCGGGATCAAATCCATCTAAATAGCAAGGATTATAGTAAGCAACGCAAATCTTGGAACAGAACAAATCACGATCGAATTATTATTATTTCAAAAAGTTATTAATACAGATGTCGGATTTAATGAAGAACTAGACGTTATTAAACTTCTTCTCTCTATTTATCAATTCCTATCTCATATGTAGTTTTTGATTTAGTTCGGTTGGTTAAGTACATTATAACCTCTATGTTACATTTAATCGGCTTTGGGACGGAAATATCATTTTTCAGAGCATTTTTTTATAAGGCATTGTTAAGTTTGATTATGTAGAAGAGACCTGATGGATATCCTACATCATGATGGGAGTATCCTGAGTCCTGGCGAGAATATCCTGCATCCTGGTGTGGAGAATACCCGGAGCCTTGGCTTCCTTCACGTCCATACTCATCATACGGGAACTCAGGGTCATACCTTCAACAAAATAGGATTCAAAACACGGAAATCTGAGACAAGCATATCCTGATGTTAAGATAAGGAATAAAGATTAGGGATCAGGGATTAAGAATTAAGCAGAAATAAGGATTCTTAGAAGGATTAAGATGTGGAAAAGGATTAAAATATAAGTTATAACTAGTTATAAAAAAGAATTATATAACAAGTTACGAAAAAAGAATAATATAACAAGTTATGAAAAGAGAATATCATAAAAAAGTTATGAAAAAAGAATTATATAACAAGTTACGAAAAAGATTAAATAAAAAGTTATGAAAAGAGAATAATATAACAAGCTATGAAAAGAGAATAATATAATAAGTTATGAAAAGAGAATAGTATAACATGTTATGAAAGAGAATAATACAATATGTTAAGAAAAAATAATTAAATAACAATTTATTAAAAACCGCAAAGAATGAAAATGAAGATACAAAAAATGGTAGAAATGATAAACCAAACTGTGTGAAACAAATGAATGACGAAGTACTTGCTAAAGAATTAAGAATTAATAAGAAATGAAATTGAATGAATGATCGAAATGAATGTTGAATGTTGAATAAATAAAGGATGAATTGAAGGAGGACAGGAGACCTGAATATTTGAGGAGTAGAGAGAATACAGAAAACATTAACTATGCAGATCAACTCAACCAGAAAAAAAATTTGTTCAAGTTTAGGAGTTTAGGATCCAGGGATCAAGATTCAAACAATACCAGTCTAGGATCCAGGGATCAAGATTTAAACAATACCAATTTAGGATCCAGGGATCAAGATTTAAACAAGGATTACCAGTCTATGATCCAGGGATCAAGATTTAAACAAGGATTACCAGTCTATGATCCAGGTTAGCAAGGATTAACAGTTTAGGACCCAGAAATAAGATTTAAACAAGGATTGATAGTTTAGGATTCAGGGATCAAGATTTAACAAGGATTAACAGTTTAGAATCCAGGAATCAAGATTTAGCAAGGATTAACAGTTTAGGACCCAGAAATAAGATTTAAACAAGGATTGATAGTTTAGGATTCAGGGATCAAGATTTAGACACGGATTATCAATTTAGAATCCAGGGATCAAAATTTAAACAAGGATTAACATTTTAGGATCCAGGGATCAAGATTGAAGCAAGGATTAACAGTTTATAGGATTCAGAGGAATCAATTTAAATATCTTTAAAATCTGTTTCTGAAATTTACATCTCAAAATTTTGGTATTGTTTAAGTTCAACTTGAAATTGTGTTGTATCCACTGGCCCACTGAGTGTACTGGCACGGCATATAGCATGACATATGGAATAGTACCGTACCAAATTTTACTTCAACCGTCGATGAATCGCTTCAGTTATGAACTTCATGTGGTAAAAGATAAAGAATTTGAAGAATATAATGTTGTTAGAAGAGATTGTATTTTCAATAAACAGCTTGTTTTTCACAAAAATAACCGATATTTTACAAAACAAATGCTAAATCATTTTAAAAGAAAAAAAACAATGTAAGCTCAATCTATAAAATGAAAGAAAAGATGCCAATATTGCTCCCATGAACGATGGAAGTTAACATTTATCATTTGCTAAAAGTACCACTTTTACTACTCACCTCTTTCCAGGATTCATGTCATATCCGTAGAGGGAGGTTTTTCTTCCTCCCTCCTCTTCTCCACTCTTCCAGTCCTTCTACCCAGGTAGAGATTCCTCCCTTCTCCCGTTCTAACTCTCAGGGTCCAACTAATCATACATAAAATGATTGACTTAGAAGGAAATAGTACAGATAGGCCATGATATATTTATATATTTAGCTTAGTACAGTGTGTCCCACTAAGCATTGCACTGGAGATACGTCTTAATGGTCGTCTTTGTTCCTTGAAATATTTTGCGGCGTTTTTTACTCAACCTAATTATGATTCTTATCATTATAAACCAATACTATTGGCGTTTTTTCTTTTAAAATTTCTGAAGATTTGTAGAATTTCGTTTAGATTTAAATTTCTTAAATTTTAATTTTAAACGGAAAGGGCCATTAACCGCAATTTCAAGTGACCCTCCATGCAAATTACGCTTAAAGTTCTAATTTCTTTGTAAATTTAAAATAAACAAAGAAGGGACTCAAATTAATGATATTAAATCAAGTACACGTATAATAACACCGTCAAGTATGTATTATACAAGGTAGTAGTATTATCAAAAGTATGTATTATCCAAGGAAGTATTATCATCACAAGTATGTATTATCCATGGTGGTATTATCAACACAAGTATGTATTATCCAAGGTGGTATTATCAACACAAGTATGTATTATCCAAGGTAATATTATCAACACAACTATGTATTATCCAAGGTAATATTATCATCACAAGTATGTATTATCCAAGGTGGTATTATCATCACAAGTATGTATTATCCAAGGTAATATTATCAACACAACTATGTATTATCCAAGGTAATATTATCATCACAAGTATGTATTATATTATCATCACAAGTATGTATTATCCAAGGTAATATTATCATCACAAGTATGAATTATATACAAGGTAGTCTTATTAGCAAATGAATAACTAGCAATCTCGTTTTTTTGTAAAAATGACCTTGTTTTTAATTTGTGTCAATTAAAACGAAATTTAGAAAATGTTAATATTCTACCATCTGTTTTAAATTTAATTTCCAAGATTATCAAGAATATAACATTTTTTAAATTGACCAAAGTAACCATTTTGAAAACCTGTTTCTAAAATTGGGCGACAAGCTAAACTTTTGTAAACAAAAACAAGGATATTATCAAAGTTTAAATATGTGTCTGAGAACTGTTTTGGTTCAGGAATTCTCTATACTTCATCTACCAGCTCTCAGAAAAATAGCCGTTACTATATCCTAAATTGATTTACTAGCCTTCGATGTACTTTTTGTACCTAATAACGTCAACATAGACGGCCGTTGGCCAACCCATGACTAGCCTAAACCTACATAATATATTTAGTTTAGTAAACATATCATAGTCTAACTAAACCTACATAATATAT